CGGACTCGTGGTAGTGGATGGGGCGGGCTGGGAGACACAGCATACAGTCATTACCATCCGCATCGATGTACACGAGCTCGCTCGGGCTGCCCCGCCCGCGCAGCATCCCGAGCCCCTCGACCGAGTACTTGGCTGTGTGCCAAGACCGCTACATCCGACGCCGCGTACAGCGCCTGCAGGAGCCGCACTGTTATCTTGTCCTGGCCGACCACTACAATCAAGCGCGCCCGATTCAAGTCGACCCCGCGGCGGCTGCTTGTGTAGATGATACAGGACTTGAACTCGTTGTAGCTACTGACCATGACGTTCTCGCTATCCATGAGCTTCTCCAGCTTGGCCGACACAAGTAGTCCAGGACCATCGCAGGCTCGTCGCCGCGCGCCACCATCGGCAACAGGGCACAATCCAGTTTGGACGAGGTGCGTGCGAGTCGAGCCCGATGGCAACCTTGGCACCAGCTGGCAGCGGCATGGGATCGCCACTGGCTTCTGTGGTTGTCCGTGTCTGCGAAGTACACGTGTTGGCCACGCTCGGATAGTGTGTGAAGGAGACGATGGCCTCGGCAAACTTAATCACATCCTCGTCGGAAGGGCTGCTGGGGAAGTGGGCGTTGTGCCAACTCTCGTCTGCGAACACCTGAAGGACGCCCTCCTACCGGGCCTCGATCGCGTAAAAGCATCAAGCTCTGCTTGCTACGCTAACATGCCTTGCCTTGCCGCCATGGGTACGGAATGGGGACCAATAAACGGATTGTCGACTTGGCGGAGATCCGTGGAGAAGCGGTGAGTGTTGTGTGGTAGCCGTTGTCGTACGTAGTTCTGAATTGTCCGTCGCCGAAAGAATTTGGTGATCACTGCTCGGCTCCCTCCACCTTCCCATTCCATCCAAGCATCGACACACACTCATCGGACAGACTGACGGATGATGCAGATATCTATCCTCTCCCATCCCATCACCTGCTTGCTGGTCACGAGCCTGCTGTCCAGCAACTGGCCAGTCGATAAAGCCATCCACGCATACTCCTCAGTCGTGGCCACGCCCCATGACGCACTCGCATCGCAGTGCTCGTCACAACTATGTACTCAGTCCGTGGCCCACATCCCCAGTACCAACCGCCCGATGACCATTTATCCCCTCACGTCATGTCGTAACCATCGCCGCAAGGCTCATCGGCGCTCCACCGCGGCCATCGCCCCGATCGCAATCAGCATCATCACAGAGACCCCCCCTGCCCCCGCCCGCCGCACAGCATCCGCACTTTCCCACAACATGCCGTCCTTCCTACAGGCACACGTCCAGCAGACGTGAAAGTCGCACAGCATGTAGTACCCATCACCATCGCATCGGTTCTAGTGATTGTCGAGACAGACCACAGGCTCAAGCCGCATGGCGCTCGACCTCATCCATCCTCACGCGGGACACCAGCTTCGACATCGACCATGATCCCCATCGATCAGCCGAGCTCAAGGACAGATCGGGCATCTCACAGTGCCTGTACCAAGTGCGCTCGGCCATCTCCAGCTCCCAACCAGCCGATCGCCCCGCTCGCTTGACGGCTCGAGATGTCCTCGCATCTATCGCGCTCGCCATCTCTGCCTGCCGGATCACGTCGATCAGCACAGTGACCCACCCCCGGCGATCGGCCGGCCAAGCCCAACCAGCCCATCAGCAGAAGATAGGCAAGACCGAGGCGCAGTGGCCAGCAGACGTTGATCGAGACACCCACGAGCGCAGCAGCGTGTTGGGCATGTCCGCAGAAGTCATCGACGACGTCTGGCAGAAGGACGGGTTGGAGAGAGGCCGACGGAGAGGCATGCCCCGGAGAGGGAAGAGCGAGACCATTGCGAAGGTGATCAAGGCAGTGACCCATCCGACGGAGCGGGCGGAAGGGGCGGGCGGTGGCGGGTGGTGGCAGGGCTTCCCGGCAGAGGGGGCAGGGAAGGGCACGACGTCACAGTGCCGAGATTGACGTCACAGTGCCGGGAGGACCAATGGAGGGTGATGGGGTGGTCTGGCGGGGACGATGGAGAGGGATGGATGATACGGGACCATGGGCGTGTACAGAGGGTGGTCGGGAGGATGTGTAAGTGGGCAATGAGTATGGTGGGGGTGTCTGAGTGGTGGAGGGGGCTGTGATCCTGCCTGACACGATCAGAGTCAATTTTTTTGGATGGCTTTGATTTCTGCCGAATGCTGTGTGAGTGGTGGGTGGCGGGGGGTATGCGGAAGGTGGAAGGGTATATCTCTCTGTCTGACAGAGTGAGAGAGTATGGCTGCGAATGTGCTGACGAGTGACGTGACGATGAACGTG